CATCCACATCGAAACACACATATTACCACACATAGTAACAACATTTAACACATCGTTTGGGGGAAATAATGCCTGTATAGCCCAAAATAGGATCTCGTTCAACCCTTTAGGGTAGCATCTCCGTGCCATCCTTTCTTTGTTCGCCTTTCCAACACTAAAGGCATTCAATGCAAAAAAAGGCGAAGAAATGGCATGGGAAAGGAGCTCATGTGTAACCGTTCGCAACTTCAAAAAAAAACTCGTCGTGCAAAGTGGTGTTTTGAATTTCCTAAGGACGCGGCGCGTGAGCGGGAACCGCGCCGCCTCGGCGGGAACTCACATGCGGGTCAACCTCATGTGAGTTCCTCGCCATTCCGGCTTTTTCGGCTTCAGTGCGCGGTTGGTTTCGGTGTTTGGATCGTGGTCGTCATGGAAAAATCGAACGATGGTCAAGTTCCCGATGCAGCAGTGGAAATCTACCAGATGACTCGAGAGGATTTGGACGACTTGTTGGACCAGGCCAGAGAAGAAGCAGTGCTCGCGATCAACGCAATGTCCCAGTCCAGTCATTCGCCACCGGTTTCGACCGGCCTAGGCACATCTTCAATGAATCTAGTGCAGTCCGTTCCGTCCAATTCGGCAACATCGGCAGGTATTTGCACGCCACCGGTTTCCTCCGGACTAGGCGTTATGGCTTTGAATCCTGGTCTACCAGTCACGTCCGGAGCGTCGAGGCCCGCATTCAAGAAGGCCGGGCTTAGCCGCCAATACGAGTTCAACGCAGGATTAGTCGCCGCTTTAGCTTCCATAGCGGAAATAGCGCCCGAATCAGTCAAGGCCAGCCTCGTCCAAGTGATTACACAGCTCAGTCAACGCAATGAGTTGTTGGTAATTGCTGATACAGATCCGGATGTATTCGAGTTCTACGACCAGCATAGTAGGGCAGAGACCCTGCAGTCTTCAAACCCCATTTTAGCGGCCTTTCTTCGAGAAAGAAAGAAGAAAGAGAGCAAGAAGCCAGCTCCTCGCTCAACAATGTGGAGTAAGTTATCTCAGAGAAGTTCTGTATTGTTTTCTGTGAGTACCTATCCTCATAACAATATATGTTTCGATGTATCTGTTCAGAATCACGTTTCACGCCGCCGTCTCAGGGCCGACAGCCCTTTCGGTTCGGAGGGGCGTCGTGGGCCCGCGCCCCTCCGGCCGCACAGCCCTCCTACCAAGATCGCCAGGAGCGAAATGCAGGAAGATTCGGTCAAGGCAGGCCAAGGGACATGTGTTATAACTGTGGGCGATTTGGGCACTTCGCCCAGGACTGTCGAGCGCCCCAAAAACATTGAAGGTCAGTTTCAAGCAGGGAATATCCACAATCATTTGATGTTTTGGTCTTCGTTAAAACTGTCATCATTCGTTAGGAATGTATTGTGGCATGGGTATTCTATTGAGATTAACGAAGGACAGTATACAAATTTCATAAGAGCAAATTCCAGTTCTACGCTGGAATTCAGCAATTTTGTTGATGGGGAAATTGCGCAGTTACTAGCTAGCACGGCCATCGAGGAAATAGACCAAGGGGACCGAGGAAAAATCAGAGTGAATCCTTTGATGGTGGCCAAGGGCAAGAAACTTAGACTAATCCTAGACCTCTCCCATCTGAATAAATCGCTTACGAGGTATAAAGTCAAGTTCGAAGACTTGCCTAAAGTCCTTCCAGCGTTGCCTAGGGGCGGGTATATGGGGTCCTTCGATCTGAAAGCAGGGTATCACCATGTCAGGATCAATTCTGCCTACACCAATCTTTTAGGATTCAGTTGGCGAGGGAAGTTCTATAAGTTTTTGGTTCTCCCTTTTGGGCTTTGTTCAGCTCCTATGGTTTTCACAAAGATTATGAGGCCTCTCCTTTATAAGTGGAGGATGCAAGGCATTAATGTTGCCATTTATCTGGACGACGGTCTGATATGGGCGAATTCCGCACGCGGTTGCGAAGAATCGATTGAGTCGGTTAGATCAGATTTGAGAGATGCCGGCTTTCTTTTGGCCGAAGAGAAGTGTTCCTGGAGCCCTCTCCAGAAGCTCACATGGTTAGGCCATGAGATTAATTTGGAGGAGTTCACGCTGAACGTGACCAAGAGCAGGGAAGTAAAAGCGCGCGATCTAGCTCATAGCTTGCTCCTTAAAAGGGGTCCTTCCTTGTTGGATAGGCTGAGATGGCAAGGTACGGTGCTTCGATGTTCCTCGTTATCCCTCCAGAGAAGAGGCGTCAGTGGAGAGCGATCGCGTCGGCCATCGCGAGAAAGAAAGGAGCAGTAGCGCGTTATCGTTCAGGTGGCCCCTCTCTCAGGAAGAGAAAGGCGAGTTGAGGGACTGGTTGGCTTGGATCGGGAGTTTCAGAGGAGTTTCTATTGATAATACGATGCAGTTGAGAAGCGCGTTTTTAGCTTTTTCAGATGCATCTGAGTTTGGAGCAGGCTCCATTTTATGTCTGGATTACAATACCAAAATCGTTTGCTCGGCCAATTTGCCCTGGATACTTAGTGGGAGAGTCGAGCACAGCCAGAGAACTGTTCGCGGTGCTTCAAGGGTTAAAGGCTTTTAGACTGCATTTGGAAGGGGAGGAAGTCGCCTGGCATTGCGATAATCAAGCGGCAATAGCCAATATTAGAAGAAAGGAAGCACCAAACCAGAACTTCAAAAATTAGCGCAGCTAATTTGGTCTTTTTGTGATCGTATTTCATTAAAAGCAGAATTTTTCTGGGTAGCCAGAACTTTTAATACGGCAGCGGACGAGGCATCCCGTGTTTTAGATTTAGATGACTGGTGCGTAAGAGACGAAATTTTTGAGGAATTACAGCAATTCTGGGGATATTGCACATTGGACATGTTTGCCAGTGATCAGAGCGCCAAGTGTAAGAAATTCATTTCCAGATGGTTCTCTCCTGACGCGTTGGCTAAGGACGCATTCTCGTCGGAAGCTCGCCAGTGGTGGAGTTCAGAGTTTCTATGGTGGGTTCCTCCTCCTAATCTCATCTTGAGAACTATTAGAACGGCTCTGGATAGCGGTAGTGCAGGGATCTTAGCCTTTCCTTTTTGGCCTTCCCATTTGTTCTTTACGGCTCTTCGTCAAGGGGACGACTGGATTCCGGAAATAAAAGATATCAAGATTTTCCCAGCGGGTTGTCCAGTTCTCAAGGGCAATTCTCCTTCGTTTACCTTTGGCGAAGAGCGATTGAATTTCGATTTCGTGTTTTGCAAGTTCATCTGCTGACCCTCGAGCTTTAACATTCCGCCGTCCTGTAGAAATTCAAAACTTAGGTTTTGCCGTAGTTTATCGGAGGTAAAAGTGGTGTTTTGAATTTCCTAAGGACGCGGCGCGTGAGCGGGAACCGCGCCGCCTCGGCGCGAACTCACATGCGGGTCAACCTCATGTGAGTTCCTCGCCATTCCGGCTTTTTCGGCTTCAGTGCCCTCCCCCCCGCCCAGTTTTGAAGTGTTAAAATAGCAATCAGTCTTCCAGGCTAGAGGGGCAGCCGGTATCCCGACAGTTTTAGTCAGCACTTGTGGTCCACGCCATCTCCGTGGGGTATGAGTGCAGCATAACTCCTGGTTACGTTAACGGTAGCCTTTAGTCATGCCATGGTCGCCCCACTAGTTGGGGAAACGGGTCTCACCTCAGGTGTTATCGCTTAGACGCTCGCAGCGAGGCTGATTTTATGTCTCTCGGGGACGCTACCTCAGGTACTTAGGGTATAGTAAGGGTCAGTAGTATACTTTATGTCCTTGTTCAATTTCCGTTTTTGTACGGGATTTAGAGTTAGGGTTCGCTTCAGACGAATTGAGGTTTTTCCAGGTGTTCCGTCAAGCCCGAGAGGGCGAAGAGCGGCAGAGGTAGCAGCTTTAGCATCTAATTTGGGTTTACCGTCGATTGCGAATATCGTCCACAGCTGCTTCGACTCGTCAGTTTCGAGAGGAACCTTGGCAGCATATAAGAAAATTAGGAAGGACTTCATGGAGTTTCTACAGAAGTCTAACGTTCCAGCATCGGCTATTCATAAGCTGAGGAACCTGTATTTAGCCTCCCTCATCGACAAGGGAAAGCTAAAGTCTCTGGAAGTGCATGCAGCAGCATTAGGGCACTTTTTTGGTCCTTTACCAGAGGTGGATCAAGATATCCAGAGGGCTCTCTTACGATCAGCTGCAAGGGTTCGTCCCCCCGTGGTGCACAGGGCCAAAGCTTCACCCGAGGATGTAAGTTTAATAATCGATTGGGCCCTCGAGGTTGGGTCGGAGACGGTTATTAAATCTGCGTCAAGTGATTCTCCTCATGTATGTCGCCTTTTTGAGAGTCAGCGAAGTCTGCGGTATTCGTTGTGGAGATATCATTGATAAGGGAGATAACGTGTGGTGGCTGTTCTTGAGAAGATCTAAAGTAGACCAAATGGGGGTCGGCACACACATCGCATTTCGATTGCGAGGGAACCAGATAGCACTTTGGGATCGCTTCCAGAAGCTCAACCTCATGCGCAGGGCAGGAGAATTCCTTTTCAGCTCCAAAGGGTTGCCCCCCTCTAGAGACCTCATCGCCAGAAAAGTTAAACAGGTTATTTCAGACGCAGGGTTGGCGCAGCGGCACCTCACCTCCCATTCCTTCAGAGGTGGAGCGGCAACTGCTGCCATCAGAGCGGGAGTGGCGCCAGATAACGTCATGAGGGTGGGTCGGTGGAAGACCCATAAGGCTTTTTCCTGTTATATAGAACCTACCCCTATCTATCCCTGAGCCTAGACCAATTTGTGTAACTTTCGTTCCTTGTTTTTCAGATTTTCTAGCTATTTTCAGTCGTTCTAGATCGATTGCATTTCGTCGCCTCAGTGGTCCACATTCTGCCTTCATTATGGTTCTCTTTTCCACATTGTATAGATATTTCATTCCTACTCAGCTAGCCTGCGTAAGGGCATGTTTATATAGATTATGTGCAAATTGTATTTAAGCGATTTACGGTGGCTGTTCACTGGTAATTTATTTAATACTGTTACTAAGAGTTATCGTTGTACATAGATCTGAGTCTCAGACCGTTTCCTGCGATGCAGCAGCACATTTGATTTTATCAGCGTTTAGTTCGTATTGCTAATTAACTTTCGCCATAACTATTTAGTCCAAGTGTTTCATAATTGTATTGCGTCCAGACGCTTTTTCATGTAAATTGTTTAGCCCAGTGGCTTATTAATGTAAATGGTGATATTGAAGCCGAAATAAAGCCTTCACCCCGCCGTCCTGTAGAAATTCAAAACTTAGGTTTTGCCGTAGTTTATCGGAGGTAAAAATTCACTCACAGGGCCACCCACATTGAGCGCCTCCTAAAGCCTGCCGCATTTGCAGCCGATATGCACAATCTCACGACAACCAATGTCATCATATGTGGTTGGAAAACTGAGCTGTT